CCGCCAAGGCAACTTACCAATTCCCTTATGTGTCGCACATCGTAGCCGAAATTAATATTTAGTCTTGACATATGTAAGGTTACCACCCAAACGCGATATTAAATAAAAAGATATAAAAAAAGGGGGAGTTTCATTATAGGCCACAAGGAAAATATATGATACGCTGCACTTTATGGGATAATACCACGCTTTGAGAAGGCCATGTCAACAGCCGGCTGGATGTAGATATGGGTGGAAAGCCATGGTAATTCCATTCACAGTGGGTAACAGGGGAAGACATTACCCTTAAGGTCATCAGGGTAAAGGTGATTAGTGTGACTGAAGGCCTAACGAGGGTTATAAAAGGTCATGACACCAGCACGAGGGTTATAAAAGGTCATGACACCAGCTTTCTGACCAACAGGTATACTGTGGCCCTCAACACAATCCAGGACTAAAGTAAACTCAGTGTGTATACTGTACACCTATAAATGGGGGTACACCTTTGTGCGTGTAACTCTGCACTCGCTTGGTTCTAAGAGACAATTAAAGAGAGTAAGAGTTGCCTCTGTTTCATCATTAACATTTCTGTAAAGCACTGGAGAATATATTTTAGGGAAGTAAATGGAAACTTGTACAAGAGCTGTTAGCATCTACAGGGAGCCGGTCGGCCGAGCGGACAGCACACTGGACTTGTAATCCTGTGGTCCTGGGTTCGATCCCAGGCGCCGGCGAGAAACAATGGGCATAGTTTCTTTCACCCTATGCCCCTGTTACCTAGCAGTAAAATAGGTACCTGGGTGTTAGTCAGCTGTCACGGGCTGCTTCATGGGGGTGGAGGCCTGGTCGAGGACCGGGCCGCGGGGACACTAAAACCCCGAAATCATCTCAAGATAACCTCAAGAAGAAGATATAAACGAGAGTAGTGTGAAGTGAGAGAGCAGTTACGCTAAATATGAGAGCATTTATAAAGGGTGCACTAATAACTTTTACAAGGAGTCATAATAACGTGGGTGACAAAAATAACCCAATAATATGACAAAAATAACCCACTAATATGACGAAAATAACCCAATAATATGACAAAAATAACCCAATAATATGACAAAAATAACCCAATAATATGACAAAAATAACCCAATAATATGACGAAAATAACCCAATAATATGACGAAAATAACCCAATAATATGACAAAAATAACCCAATAATATGACAAAAATAACCCAATAATATGACAAAAATAACCCAATAATATGACAAAAATAACCCAATAATATGACAAAAATAACCCAATAATATGACAAAAATAACCCAATAATATGACAAAAATAACCCAATAATATGACAAAAATAACCCAATAATATGACAAAAATAACCCAATAATATGACAAAAATAACCCAATAATATGACAAAAATAACCCAATAATATGACAAAAATAACCCAATAATATGACAAAAATAACCCAATAATATGACAAAAATAACCCAATAATATGACAAAAATAACCCAATAATATGACAAAAATAACCCAATAATATGACAAAAATAACCCAATAATATGACAAAAATAACCCAATAATATGACAAAAATAACCCAATAATATGACAAAAATAACCCAATAATATGACAAAAATAACCCAATAATATGACAAAAATAACCCAATAATATGACAAAAATAACCCAATAATATGACAAAAATAACCCAATAATATGACAAAAATAACCCAATAAAATGACAAAAATAACCCAATAATATGACAAAAATAACCCAATAATATGACGAAAATAACAGTGAGACATTTGTAGGTCATTTAAAGCCAGTCATCCTTCATTAACCCGTGAAGCCATTTCTGCGGCAGTATATTCAATCCCAGAACAGGAGTTAGGTTTCCCCCTGAATGATATACAGCGACAATTTCATTTTCAAAAAATTATTTTTTTCTGCGAATGCTTCAGTTTCCCCATATCAGACCGAATCTTGATCTCTCAATGGCTGCATTCGAATCAGATGTTAATCTAACCAAACCAGACGAATTAACACCTCAAAGCAGCACAGAAAAAGCTATATTAACTAACACAATGTCCTTAATGTTCAAAGTCCAACGTAACATTCCAGAACGAACAGCCAGTTGAAACAAATCCGCGTTATGCATATTAGTTACATATAAAACAGTGCTGAACTCCGGCAGGAGCCGATAATATTGTTCATAATGGAAATTTCATATAATATCATACATGCAAAGGTATTATGGAAGAATACGATAGTCCCACCCAACTAAAAGCGGCTTAAGAGGTATAAAGAAAACGGGGTTAATCTGGATTTCATGGTAGTGCTTCCTGGCGCTGCCATCCTACCATGGTAGTGTAACCAACCATACGTCGTTACCAACTGAACAGTTAAGGGTCGTTAGAAACCGATACCCCGGAGGGAATCATCCCTCTCCCTCATCCCTCTCAGATACATTCATTAACTTGGAGATCGAACTTGGGCCTTAAAAGTACATTGACTGTTCATTCAAGTAAATGAAATATTATTGAACCATTATATGTCTTAATAGGAAGTGGTTTGGCCAGGCACCGCCTTCCAAGAATGCGTTAATTGCATTCAAGAACACTATTACAGAATAAATCTATAATCCATTAAATATACTTTCAAGAAAACATTTCAACACGTACATATAAGACGTCCAACACGAAAGATAATCCCAGAAATCCAGACCCTAGATTTATTGAAATATTTTCTTGTGTTAAAAAAAATTAACGTGTACTCTGCATAAATTTGCATATTACAATTAATGGCATTTATATTTTAATTAATTAAATATTATGGTCGATTTCCTGGAAACAATGATATACTTGACTGTATAAGGTTAAACATTTGATATTTTCGTAAAGGGCCAACACTCTTAAGTCTTACACAGTGGAACAGTGATAGTGTTTAGAGTAGTGAATATATCATCATGGGCGCTCTGTGGGGTGTGGGTCGTGGAGCATGGGGGGGGGGGAGGGAAGTTGCCACAGCTGTGGAGCATGGGGGGGGGGAGGAAGTTGCCACAGCTGTGGAGCATGGGGGGGGGAGGAAGTTGCCACAGCTGTGGAGCATGGGGGGGGGGGGAGAAAGTTGCCATAGCCGTGGAATGAGAAAAGAGGTGACAAACGTAGTATATGAGAAAAGATGCGAGAGTCGTGAAGTATGAGGAAATATGAGAGTCGTGGAGTATGAGGAAAGCATTATTAACAGAGAGAAGATGAAACGTGAGAAATTCAGTACAAAAATATCTTACAAGACAAATCTTTAAGTGGAAGACATGGTTATTCCTTGACTCTCCTGGACACACGCTTCATCAAACATTTACTCGTACACTCACGAAACCTGTACATCTTTCCTCGATCATGGTGCCTTAGTCTGCATCTACTTCGTGGATATTCGTGGATACAAACCACGAATCTCCATTAACAATCCACGGTTGTTAATGTTATAGACCTCATCCATCCTCCTGTTTACATACTCCCTATTGGAACGATCGTCAATAGTCACGAATTCCTACGTACTTAGCTTTTAGATAGTAGTATACTGACTATATTACATATTAATTACATACATACATACATAATTACATACACATCACTATATTATATATTATATTATATATATTACCTAACCTAACCTAACCTAGTATAGCACACATATGTACTATATTAGGGATTCTGATATCGTGTATTAATATCTAGGCCTAAGGAGGTTAGGCTAGGTTAGTTTGTCAAAGCAACAAGTACAAAATTGTTTTCCCGGTTTATTGAGGTTATTTTGAGATGATTTCGGGGCTTTAGTGTCCCCGCGGCCCGGTCCTCGACCAGGCCTCCACCCCCCCAGGAAGCAGCCCGTGACAGCTGACTAACACCTAGGTACCTATTTTACTGCTAGGTAACAGGGGCATAGGGTGAAAGAAACGCTGCCCATTGTTTCTCGCCGGCGCCTGGGATCGAACCCAGGACCACAGGATCACAAGTTCAGCGTGCTGTCCGCTCGGCCGACCGGTTTGTCCAACTCAATAGTTCAGATTTCTACTTTCTACTGTCGTTGAACGTCGATATATATACAATGCATCGTTACTATACGTACTACCAAAACACAAACAATGGGCTGTATAGACAACCTCGCAACTCATAAACCGCTTTAAAAATAAATGCAAACAAAAACCGCCCTAATTGCGAGAAGATGTACAGGCTTCGTAAGATGACACATGAATCCTGATGCGTCTTGATGAACGCCGGCCCAGGTCGAAACAGAATTAACTAGTCCGAGGAACCACCACCAACTGCACCCAGCGATGTGTGGGGGGGGGGGGGGGTGATTAGATACATTAAACTGACCAAGCTTGTTAACTACTGCTACCTCGCCTTGTTCCAAGCGTCATGGAGTGTTTGTCTTCCTCTTGAGTCCTCACCGGCTTGCTTGGCTTGGCTGGCCGGCTTGCTTGTCTTGGCCGGCCGGCTTGCTTGTCTTGGCCGGCTCCTAGATGAAGTGCCGTATATCTTATAACCAATTAATATACAACATCCTGCAACTAGCAATGTTAGAAACCGTTCAAGTACATTTAATATAGTATTTTTGCAACCGAAATTGCATTTTTGCACGGGGTTTTATATATATTATTTATTTATTTATTTATGCATATACAAGAATGTACATAAGGAATGTGAGGATACAAATATGGTAATTACAGTCTTGTAAAGCCACTAGCACGCGCAGCGTTTCGGGCAGAAAGTTGCCATATATAGCACAGGAATTTACGTCTCAAAGGTAATTTACACTAAATATGATATGATTCTTGTTAGTTCCTTCTTAAGGGCAACGGAGACAGTAAATGATTGCGTTACTAACGACTCTACTCAACCACCCATCATGTTAATGGGGTAATTTGTCCAGCTTGTCTTATCTTTGGGGGGGGGGGGTGAGAATGTGGCGCGCGAAAAATTAAATGGTCGGAATGCAAGAAATATATTTGTGAAGATGTTTCAAGATGGCCATAATGGGAGAGGGATGTTTCAAGATGGCCACAATGGAAGGGAGATGTTTCAAGATGGCCACAATGGGAGAGGGATGTTTCAAGATGGCCACAATGGAAGGGAGATGTTTCAAGATGGCCATAATGGAAGGGAGATGTTTCAAGATGGCCATAATGGAAGGGAGATGTTTCAAGATGGCCATAATGGGAGAGGGATGTTTCAAGATGGCCATAATGGAAGGGAGATGTTTCAAGATGGCCACAATGGAAGGGAGATGTTTCAAGATGGCCATAATGGAAGGGAGATGTTTCAAGATGGCCACAATGGAAAGGAGATGTTTCAAGATGGCCACAATGGGAGAGAGATGTTTCAAGATGGCCACAATGGAAGAGAGATGTTTCAAGATGGCCACAATGGAAGAGAGATGTTTCAAGATGGCCACAATGGAAGAGAGATGTTTCAAGATGGCCACAATGGAAGAGAGATGTTTCAAGATGGCCACAATGGAAGAGAGATGTTTCAAGATGGCCACAATGGGAGAGGGATGTTTCAAGATGGCCATAATTGGAGAGAGATGTTTCAAGATAGCCATAATGGGAGAGAGAGATGTTTCAAGATAGCCATAATGGGAGAGAGAGATGTTTCAAGATAGCCATAATGGGAGAGAGAGATGTTTCAAGATAGCCACAATGGAAGAAAGGTGTTTCAAGATGGCCACAATGGAGGAGAGATGTTTCAAGATGGCCACAATGGAAGAGAGATGTTTCAAGATGGCCACAATGGGAGAGAGAGATGTTTCAAGATGGCCACAATGGAAGAGAGATGTTTCAAGATGGCCACAATGGAAGAAAGGTATACACTGATGTTCTCGGGACCTCTGCGTGGTTATCGTGTCTATCCACCAGCGACTAATGCAGGTTTCGAGAGCCGCCTTGTGATTGTGGCTTTTCCGAGCCAAAGGCTTTTCCGTGATTGTTTTTAAATTGTTAGTGATGACAGGGCGCTGGACACCGGGAACTTTTTGTCGTCTATAATCAGCAGACGCGGGAAAGAAATCACAAGAATTTATTTTATTGAACAACAATTTTCAATTGTACCATTATTTATTTGAAGTGATTGTATCCTACGACATTATTTGGATATTACTATGCTCCGTCCCTAGAGTCATGCTCCGTCCCTAGAGTCATGCTCCGTCTCTTGAGTCATGCACCGACCCTTAAGTCATGCTCCGGTTCTTGAGTCATGCACCGACCCTTAAGTCATGCTCCGGTTCTTGACTCATGCTCCGTCCCTAGAGTCATGCTCCGTCTCTTGAGTCATGCACCGACCCTTAAGTCATGCTCCGGTTCTTGACTCATGTTCCGTCCCTAGAGTCATGCTCCGTCTCTTGAGTCATGCACCGACCCTTAAGTCATGCTCCGGTTCTTGACTCATGCTCCGTCCCTAGAGTCATGCTCCGTCTCTTGACTCATGCTCCGTCCCTAGAGTCATGCTCCGGTTCTTGACTCATGCTCCGTCCCTAGAGTCATGCTCCGGTTCTAGAGTAATTTTGCCATTCTAGAGTCATGTTCAAAGTAATTTATTTACATTAAAGGTCATATATACAGATGGTATTCACACGAACGCCTCAAGACTGAAGCAATTACTCCACGAGTCCGTTTTCTTAATATATTAGCTCTTTGGAGAGTATCAGTAACCTTCTTGAGAACTCACAGCTTTTCCTCACGAAAACTCGCTTTAACAAGTCTTGCTTTAACGACCACTTGAGTTAACGTCCATTTTAAGTGTTGGGGAGTCTCGCAAGCCTTACTGACGGGCTATTCATGCCCGTGCCACCTCTTGGGTGGCTTAATGTTCATTAATCAATCAAGCCTTACTTTCAGCGCCAATAGCATGCTATACGACCTCGCCCCACAATGGCACTTCCTTACTACACACACAGATCACACTAACATGATGCATCAAATGTTAAGGCAGTGTCTGGGATGCTCCCGGACGCAGGTTCGAATCCTCGTCACGGCCCTTGTGGATTTGTTGACTTCCTTACTGCTGCCACTGTACTTTAAGGTTAAATACGGTCAATGCTTGCAAAACAATCACAGTGGCGTGATATAGCAATGAAAATCATTTTGAGGCAATGGAGTGACTCGAACCCGCGACCCGGTGAATCCCAGACATCTGCCCTAACCGACTCAGCCATGCAGACCAGTCTGATCGGGTTGACTGTAAAACCCTGGTTGGGCTCCGGTTTGGGGCCCCAGAAAGGTGTCTGGGATTCACCAGAATGTGAGTCACTTCTTTACCTGAAAGTAATTTTCACGATCAATGTCGTTTATTAAAAAAAAAAAAACTTAATTTTACATTACATTTTATTATTATTTTAGATAAAATAATAATAATAATAAATTATTATTATTATTTTGCCGGGTCTCGCGGCCGACAGGTCAGCGGCCACGACTCATAATCCAGGGACCTGGGACTCTATTCCTTTTCAAGACAATTAACAATTAAGCGGGCAAAGTTTCTTTCACCTGGTGCCTCATTTCACATGACAGTAAATGGGTAAGTAAGTTAGACAGCAGCTACGGGTTGTGTCCTGTGAACTCACAACTAGTTGTGCTTGAGGGAGTTGAGCTTCGGCTCTTTGGTCCCGCCTCGCAACCGCCAATCAACAGGTGTACAGGTTCCTGAGCATATTGGGCTCTATCATATCTAAACTTGAAACTGTGTATGGGGTCAGCCTCAACCACATTAGTTCCTAATGCATTCCATTTAACTACTCTGGCACTAAACAAATTATTTCTAATGTCTTTATGGCTCATTTGGGCACTCAGTTTCCACCTGTGTCCCCTAGTGCGTGTGCCCCATGTGTTAAATAAATTGCCTTTGCCTACCCTATAAATTCCTTTGAGAATCTTGTATGTAATCATGTTCCCCTAACTCTCCTGTCTTCCAGCGAGGTGAGGTTTAATTCCCATAGTCTCTCCTCATAGCTCTTGGCCCTCAGTTCGGGCTCAGTCTGGTGGCAAACCTCTGAGCCTTCTCCAGTTTAGTTTTATGTTTGACGAGATATGGACCCCGTGCGGAGCTGCATACTCCAGGATTGGTCTGACATATGTGGTATACAAAGTTCTGAAAGGTTCCTTACACAAGTTTCTAAAGGCAGTTCTTATGTTAGCCAACCTGGCATATGCCGCTGATGTTATCCTCTTGATATGGGCTTCGGGGGACAGGTCTGGCGTGATATCAACCCCCAGGTCTTTTTCTGATTCTTGAAGAGTTTCATCTCCCGAATGATACCTTGTATCTGGCCTCTTGCTCCCTACACCTATCTTCATTACATTTGTTTGGGTTAAACTCTAACAATCATTTGTTGGAGCATTCCTTCAGTTTGTTCAGGTCTTCTTGAAGCCTTATGGTGTCCTCCTCTGCCCTAATCCTTCTCATAATTTTGGCGTCGTCAGCAAACATTGAGAGGAATGAGTCTATACCCTCTGGGAGATCATTTACGTATACCAGAAACAAGATAGGTCCGAGTACAGAGTCCTGTGGGCTCCGCGCGCGCGTGCGTGTGTGTGCGCGTGTGTGCATTTACTATTTATATTTAATATTTGTATCTGCAGATTCGAGCTATTAGCTCTTGGACCCCGCCTTTCTAAACAATTTTTTTTCCTCTATTATGTCTACTACATATATTTCTCACACACACGCACGCACGAACGCACACACACACACATACACACACACACACACACACATCCCAGGAAGCTGCCCGTAGCAGCTATCCAACTACCAATTACCTATTTACTGCTAGGTGAACAGTGCACCAGGGTTAAAGAAACTCGGTCCATTGGTTTCTGCCTCTGTCGGGGATCGAACCCGGGCCCTTAGGACTACGACCCCAGAGCGCTGTCCACTCAGTCGCTAGGCCTGTGTGTGTGTGTGTTAGTGTTAGAGAGAAGTATATAAATGTACAGACAGAACAAGCGTAGTGTCAGTACATTAAACAACTGGCGGTTCGAAAGGCGGGGTCCAAGAGCTAACAGCTCGATCCTGCCCATTCCTCCCCCCCCCCAATCACAACACATCTGCCCGCCTCTTTAACTCACCTGCCATAAATGACACAACACAATTATCGGAAAAGGGATCATTAAACGTAAAAATAATTTACAGTCGTGGTTGTGTTGTTTCTGCACATGGCAAAACACCTCGTAAAACCTTTCCCCCACTAATCGCCTCATCCTTCTCTCTCTCTAATTCATCCGGCCCCCACTCTTCCTTTCCTCCTCTCTCTCTCCTTCCCTCATCCAGTTCTCCTTCGCATCTAATCATCTTGTATCTTCACATCTCCGTTCATTATCGTTCTTCTCCTTTCTCCCCCAATTTAGATGAGATAAGTGTTTACCGCTGCGCTGCTTGCTGCTCGCGTGCCGTGATTACTGCCTGTGAGAGGGCGTATGTAGTGTCTTGGCTGGTTGCTCGCCTCGGACGCTTTGCACGGACGCATGGCACGGACGCATGGCATAGATGCTCAGCACGGACGCATGGCATAGATGCTCGGCACGGACACTCGGCACAGATGACTCTCCAGTTATATATGACTGTATTAAAAGTTTTAAAACTAAATATCGAAAACAAATGATTAAAATTACCCGGTTCTGGGCTACCTAGAGGCAAGCACATGCAAGTGTAACCGTCCAATCTGTTGAATGAAGAGCTAGCAAGTCTCCCATCTAACACACCCTCCACTTTCCATCCTACCCCTCCCATACATCCCTTTCCCTACCAACTCTTTCCCCCTCCATACTTCTTTTCAGTAAGTCTATGGCTTCTAATTCAATAATCAGTGCTATTGTTTACTCCCAATCCATGGTTATGTTAACTTAGATTGGGTTAAAAAGAGTATTAATCTCAAACATGCGAAAAATTAAATTCGAAAACATTATGAGTATCCCTAGATATTCATATTAAAGAAAACCTAGATTTCAGGCTGTATCAAAGAAAACGTGCTAACCAAATACTTTTATTTATTTTAAACTATTGATATATAATACAATAAAGTTATAACGTGGTAATATTCTCTGTTTAGGACAAAGGTTCACTTGTCAGTTTACAAATAGACTATAATTAGAACGGTAATATGCTTTTAAACCATCACAAACATCTAGATAACTATCCAGGTGTTCTAAGAGCGGGTTTGGTGTTTCTATGTAATCATTTTACCCTAAGGACAGGCTGAATTACTGATAAGCTATATCGCCAGTATCAGATACAAGCAGGAAATATAATATACAGTAGTAAAATATCTAACCGTGATGATATTAAAACTGTTGGTAACGTGAGTAAAAATTCCTTAAAAATATCGAACAATTTAGTTAAAATTTACGCACCAAGTTTCGCAAGTCGAGGTTAAAAGTTTCCAGAGAACTCAGAATAAAAAACTAAGGTTGTCTCTACGACTGACAAGGAATAGAGAAAAGGAATAGAGAAGAGAAATAGTTTAACTGAACACTCTCGAGCTCTCATTTTTACACTTCAACGAAGAAAGTTAACGAATTTGTTTTACAATTTGTAAGAATTGCACAAGATTTTTACAACCCTCCGTGTATTTCAAAGTGTGTGCTCTCCTACATGTACTTAACGGGTTGAGTG